TATTTTTATGTGTATGACTATTGTCTGCATGTGTGTAAGTGCACCTGTGCCATGCAATGCCCGAGGAGTCAGAAGAGGGCGTTGGATTCCCCCAGAACTGGAGTTACGTATGGTTGTTAGCCACCATGTGGGTGCTGGGAATTGAACCTGGGTCCTCTGTCAAGAGGAGCCAGTGCTCTTAACCGTTGAGTCATCTCTCCAGCCCCACCAAAAACTATTTTAAAAACTGTTCAACATCTCTAGTCATCAGGGAAATGCAAACTAAAATTACTTTGAGCTATTACCTCACCCCAGTCAGAATTGCTATCATCAAGAAATACAGCAATAAATGTTGGAGAGGATGTGGGGAAAAAAGGAAACTTTATTCACTCCTGGTGAGAGTGCAACTTAGTACAGTCATTATGGAAATCAGTTTGGAGGTTCCTCAAAAAATTAAAAGTAGAACTACCATATGACCCAGCTATGTCACTCCTGAGTATATACCCAGAGAACACCACATGTTACTATAGAGATATTTGTACCCCCATGTTTATTGCTGCTCTATTCACTACAGCCAAGAAACAGAACCAACATAGTTGTCATTCAACAGATGAATAGATGATGAAAATCTGGTACATATACAAAATGGAATATTACTCATCTCTAAGAAAAATGAAATCACAAAATTCACAGGGAAATTGTTGAACCTAGAACATATACTATTATGCAAAGTCACCCAGTCTCAGAAAAACAACAACAAAATGCATGCGCTCCCTCATATTTGGGTCCTAGCCTATAATGTGTACATGTAAACTAACGCATGAGTATATTATGTGAGTATAAACTATTGTATGAGTATACTATAACACTTAGGAAGGAGAACAAGAAAAGTTAACTTTAAAAGGTACACTATTAAAGTTCGCATATATTAATATATTCAGCATAGTTCATGTATGTTCTTTGAATTTTATCTCAAGATATAACACACTTTTAATGCAAAATAAGTCCTATGGGCAGTGTCTACATGTGATTCCACAAGATACTGTTACCTTACAGTGAAATTTGAGTTTTAAGCTATTTTTTTCATTCTTTGAATATTTTTGTATGCTATAGTTTTTTGGACATACTAATAAATTTTAATTAAAAAATTTGGTTTTGTAGATTTTTTTTTTCTTATTTTGGAACCAATACCTTGTTTTAGCCTCAAACCGTAAACATTTAAGTAGCAATGGGTAGGGAAAATGACCCTGGGCTTCCTTAACACAAAGGCCTCTGGGGCTGAATTCTGAAGATTTTGGCTAGTCTCAGTTCTTGTACTTACATCTGGCAGTGTAAATCTCACTGGGCCTTGATTTCCTACCTGTGAAGTGAGGAGGCTGGACTAGTTTTCATGTTCATTTGGTTTGGTTCTAAGATTAACAATTTGGGGATTTCACTGGCAGATCTTGGGCTGTAATAGTTTAAACTGGTGTTTGCTTATTTAATGAATAAAACGGTGACTGCCAGAGCCCACCTCCAGCCTTCCAGCTGTGCCCAGTATCTCTAGTGAGCACCAGGTGTTGTGTTTGAGTCCTCCCGAGAGGCATGTAGCATGCCGGACTGCCCTCCTACCTTGTTGAGTGTGTTGAGGGCTGCCTGGGCAGCGGCGAGGGCAGGCTCTGCTCTAGCCAGATCCTCCCCACAGTCCTTCTGCTTCTGCTGCACCTCCTGCATGATGAGGGCCACCTTCTGTTCCTCCTGGTCTGCGATGGCTTTCTCTCTGCTCACCTTGGTGGTCTCCACACCCACTACCTGAATCAGCTTGTCTGCGTCTTCATTCCTCTGCTTCAGCTCCACTTCCTGGGTGGCTAGCTTGGCTTTCAGATCATCCACCTGCATCAGAGAGGCACCAGGGATCATCATGAGCAGTTTCTGGCACAACGGGTCATGGTTCTGAGGACCCCACTCTGCAGAACAGAACCAAGAAACCACTCCTCATACAGAGGCACAAAACTGTGCTTTCAGATAGAACCAAGCTCCCTGGCCTGGGAAAGAGAGGCAAGGCAAGCACGGGACACTCTCTCTCTCCATAGTTAAGTGTGGAGTATCCTGAACACTATGTGCCTAGAACCTTCTCAATGATGCCAAATTGATGTGGACTGCTCCTCATTGAAAATGCTTATGTCCTTTAAAACCTCATGTGCCCATATCCATGTTTACTGCTGCTCTATTCACAGGCCTAGATGTTCTAGATGAATGGGTAAAGAAATTTTGTACATGACCCCAAGGTAATTTTATTCAGCCATAAAGAAAAGAAAAATCATGACATTTATAGGAAAACTGATGAAATTGGAAATAATTACATGAAGCAAAATAAGCCAGTGTCAAAAAGACAAATACGTTTTTCCTTATATGGGGGGGGGTCCTAGATTTAATCCCCCCTCCCTTCCCGTATGCATGTGTGGTGTAGGTCACGGGCGGGGAAGAAGAGGTCTTAAGGGAGGTAGGGAATAGAGAAAGTCACGGACTACATGTGATAAGACAGCAGAAGCTGGAGGAAGAAAGGGAAGTGGCTGTGCGGTAGGGGTGGGAGTATGGGAGAGGGCAGCGGACGAGGGGAATGAAAGAGGAAAAACACGTGTGAAAATGCCATGACGAAACAGTACTTTGGATTAACTGATTAATAATAATGAGGAAAAAGCCTTCGTGAGCATAATATACTTTGCCCATGATAGTTCCTTAATGAAGAAGATTTGTGGTTATTTAATTAAAATAGTCTGCTGTGGAATGTGCCAAGGATTTATAAAAAGGGAATGTCTGCTCTGTGGTCTGAGAGATCAAATACGTGAACAGACAGTGGCCAGACTGTATATAACAAGCACAACCCTAACCCACAACCTCCAGCAGTCTGCCCAGGAAGCCAGCCCCTTACCTACAAGGAAAACATGACAAGCAAGAAAAGAAGCAGTTGACCATGTGTGTGCCCTGTACTCCCAGGACAAATGTAAAGGGAGATTCCATAAAACTGTCTAGTGAACATCTCAGGAAGCCAGCCTGCTGCAAGTCAGAGGGTAGGAAGTCTGGTTACCTCCTCCATCCACAATCTAAAAAGATAAACAGTAATCCTATAGCACTTGGCCCCCAATGACCAGGCCCCGATTAATAATGGACAATACCCTTTATTTATTTATTTATTTTTTGTTTTTTTCAGTTTATTCCAACATAGGACCCAAGAAAGCCAAACATGTTCCCCTAATTTAGCCCATAAGATGCTCCTTTCTAGAGAAGCCCTGCCTCCACTTACTTGGGGTGAACGCCCTCCATTCCTTATACTGCAATGCTTTCTCACTCCTCTGCCTGGGTCTCTGCTGAAGGAAAGCACTGTCATGGTGCCCGAGTAGCCTTGACTAGCTCTCATTTGGTTGGTCTCCACTTATTTCCACAACCCTTACTACAAATAGATGACCAAGTTAAAATGGGACAGCAGGAATCACAGTGATCCAGGCTGACTGGATTCCTCATGCAGCCTCTGGAAGCATAATGATGTGATGGGAGGACAGTGCCAGGAAACTGCATTTGTCTCATCAGAGGGCAGAAGAGAGTATGGTTTTCTGTGTGTATTCAGATCAGCAGGGTAGTGGTTCTCAGACTCTGCTCCCTGGGCGGGGAGCATCTACATCACATCAGCACCAGCACCAGCATCACTCAGGGATATATTAGCTGTGTAAACTTTAGGCCTTACTCCAGACCTACTAAGCCAGAAATTCTGGACCTGAGGCAGATGAGGCCTGACAGCCTGTGTCCATTCTGATGCCTTACTACCTCAGACTAGCTGGTCTAAAGGTAATGTCCTTTTCAAGTGCAAAGTGAATACACAGACCTATTTATTACGAAAAGTACAGAAGCTGCTTGCATTTGCAGGATGGCTCATAAACCTTACATTCCAGGCCGACCTCTTGCCTCTCATTTTCCTGCAGTCTATTGCATGCAACAACTGAAGATTACTTCAGAACTCCTGGAATACGTCAAACAGATTCAAGGGCTTTATGATGCAAAACACATAAGTTGAAGAATAAAACTGAGACAGACACCACTGATAATTCCCTTTTCATGGCAGATCTAAAGAAAGAAAAGGACAGGAGGAGGAAAAGGAATGTTCTTTAATTTTGTGTATTCACGGGAGCTGGAGACCTGTGTTAACCTCAAATAGAGGCTGCTCTGGGAAGTCATCTTATAGTCACATATTGGAAGGTTAATCTGTTTCCATCTCCTGTTGTTCAGCTGCAGAGAGTTATTTCTACAAGGACAAAGATGCAATTGTAAATCAAAGTGATTGAGTCCCATAATCACTCCAGTCAGCAAACACACCAGTAACTTTTTGTTCCTTTTTAAATCTTGGGAGATTTGAGAAAATTGAAGTGGTTTTTTTTTTAATTCTTTTTAGTTGTTTTGTTTTGCTGATTGCAGATATGGCTGTGACCTCAAGCCCAAGGTAAATAATCCACTGAACTATGAATAGAGCTTAATAGCTCTTAAGCTGTGATGTGGAGTGACAGGAGGGGCCTACCAGTCAGAAATAGGCCACTCCTACCTAACTACAGTCAAGGGGGAATTCAGGTTCATTTTATGATTCTTCTGCAATAGAAGAGGAAACTGGAAAAAGGTAGTCTTCCTAGCTTTCCTAGAAAATCTTCCTTTTCCTCTTATTAAAGCCACACTTTACATTTCTCCTTAATGCCATCAAAATAAGAATATTAAGATTCCATGAACACAGGAAAGACCATTTCCTATATATAGTGCGGCTAGCTCTATGAATGAGAACCATGCTTGGTTAGTGGGGAAATGCCTGCTGAGAGGGTGAAGGCATCTGGTTGTGGGTGGCCCTGGGTCTTTAAGGACCTAGAGCAGCACCAAAGAAAGACACTAAACTTCTCCTCTTCAGGATGATACTGAGAATCAGGAGCTGAGACAGATGTTCATGCATTTTCCCAGAGTTGCCCACAGGGGAGAACTTTGACTTTCTGTAACTCAAGGTATTTGGGGGAGGGGGAAGATTGCATCTGCTGGATAAGGGGCAGGAACCCAGGGTAACCAGTTGCAACAAACAGTCCAGCAAGGAATCAGGGTCCAGAACGCCTTCCTCCCTCCTCTGTGTCTGTGCCGTCAGCTAACACTTTCTCATGTAAATCTGGACTTCAAAGCAGCTTTTCTCTCAGGTTCAGTTGCTTCTCTTCTCTGCCAGCATGTCTGTCTTCCTAATAGAAACTTTTATCATTGCTTATGGAGCAGATGGGATATTTCCTTTAGAAACGGCCCCCTCACCTAGTCCTTGTAATTTGAACGAGGCTATTTCAGTTGCATTTTGACCCTGGGTTGGCCAATGGGTATCCATCCAAGTCATGGAGAATATTTGGCACTGGGTAGTACCCAAAGACGCCCATCAGAGTCAATGGCTATTCACCTGGGAACTTGGCTGAAAATCCTGAGGTTGTCAAGCCTGTGGGTTCACCTGCGTGAGCCTGAGTATGATAAAGACAGCGAAGGAATGGAGGAAGCCAAGGAGTTCAGGGCATCCTGGGAAGAGCTGGCTCTAGCCAGAGCTAAGTTGAACTCTACTGTGATATTCCAACTGTAGGAACCAAATCATCTTTAAAAAATTTTAAAAATCAATTTAAGGTTTACTTGGTTAAGAGTCCTGATAACTGTATCATGTAATTAAAAAAAATAACAGTGTATTTTAGTTAACCAACACAGGCAACATATTTTAACACATAATAATTACTGAAAGCTACTAATAAGATATGTTGCATCCCTTTTGCTCAAACTAAGTCTTCAAATTGCAGGATGTCAGTTACATTTGTAGCACTCCTCAGTTTGAATTAGCCACATTTTTGTTGTTGCTGTTTTGAGACAGGGTCTTTTTATGGAGTCAGGTTGGTCTCAAACTCAGGCTCTATCAACCCCAGCCTCCCAAGTGCTGGGATTATAGGCATGTGCCATGACATGTAGTTGAACATTTTCTCCCCTTGTTTTTCTTTTTCTATGGTGCTAAGTATCAAGCCTAGGGCCTTGAGCCAACTAGGTAAATGCTAAACCACTGAGCTCCACACCTACCCTTGATCATAGTCTGAGTACTTGGTAGACACATGAGGTTAGTGGCTAGTGGCATATCGTGTGTATCATGGAATCTTAAACTTCATCTTCTTTCCCTCCATTCTTACTCTTTTCCTCACCCCCTTTCTCCCTCTCTCCTTCCTTCCCTTTCTTCCTTTCTTTGGTTTTTGTCATTTCTTTTTACTGAATAAATTTGTATTAGGTTTTTTTCACTTTGCAAACTAAAGGAACTAGGTTAATATATCATCGTAAGTTACTATACCCACTATCTTTTGGTAAGTTTGGTACCGAAGACTATTTGAAAATTCCAACATAAACTGAATTTATTCCACATGAATCTCAATGTTACATTTTACTTCATAAATATGTCCATATATGTGTCAATCAAAAAAGTAAACTAAGTTTTAAAAGCATTCTGTTCTGGGTTGTCCTTTCCTCCTCATGAAGGCGCCTGAGTTAGAGACATAAGTGTGGTCAATGGTGGCTCCTAGACAGTGCCTGGAGAGTTGGCAGGAAGCCCTGGACCATGGCTGTGCCAAGAGAAAGAACAATTTGCACCGACCGTACAGACCAGTTGAAGCTGAAGCATAAACAGAAGAAGATGCAACCTAAAGACCTCCAAAAGAGCCAACAGGAATGGGAAGACCATGCCATGGTGCTGGAACTCCATACCACAGAGAGGAGAGGGAAAAAAAGACCAGGCAGAGGAAAATATTCCTGAGGCAGAGCTTGAACTCTGAACTGACTGCCTCCCAAAGACCAAGACTTTTTTAAAATTT